AGCACTCAGGAGGCTGAGGCAGGAGGATCGTTGTGAGTTTGAGACCAGCCTGGGCTACAAAGTGAGCTCAAGGCCAGCCTGAACTGCATAGGGAGACCCTGTCTCAAAAAGACAAAAAACAAAACTACAAAGTTCTATCCACTGTGGAGTGGTAGGAGCACATTTATTCTGGCACATGGCAGAACAGCTTTTAATCTGATTATGCAGTTTCTTTTATGGCCAACTTTTCTTTTCTTTTTGGTTTTTCCAGACAGGGTCTCACTATGTTGTTTAGACTGCCGCTCTGTCACTGTGGTTCCAAAGCGGCCCTAGGCTGGGGCGTGGCTGTGAGGGACAGCCGTGGGGTTAGTGCGAACCAGGTCCTGGCTTTGATCTGCAGTATTAAAAGTAATAAAGCAGCCCCAGACAATATGTACACAGATGGGCCGAGGTAAAGCTTTATTTACAAAAACAGGGAGCCAGCCCACAGACCCAGAGGCCCCCCACCTTAGGTCACTGCTTTACAGGCATCTCTTAGGAAGTCTTCGTGTCCAAACAGCAACTCTGTGATTCTTTGCCTTTTTCTCCTAGTGATTGACCTGGACCCTCTGGAGCAACAAGGCCGAAGGCAGTTCCTGTTTGCCATGCTGCAGGCGCAAGATCCTAGGCAAGGACAGTAGGCATCTGCTTTCCACTTGGAGAGAAAGGGGAGATTCAGACAGGAATTCAAAAGTTGGATGTGGTGGCGCACGCCTGTGATCCTATCACTTGGGAGGCTGAGGCAGAAGGCTCACTGCAAGTTTGAGGCCAGCCTGAGCTACATAGGCAGAACTCATCTCAAAATCAAAACAGACAAGGGCCAATCGGGATGGCGCACACCCCTATAATCCCAGCACTCCAGCACTGCGGAGTTCAAGGCCATCCTGGGCCACAAAGTGAGTTCAAGGCCAGCCCGAACTGGAGGGTGGAACCTCCAGTTCCACCCAGTTAGAGGGTGAAACCCTCTCCAAAAAAGACCAAAAAAAAAAAAAAAAAAAAAGCTCATTCTTGGGGATGCTCTTTAATCAATGTTGTGATACTCGAGCAGTTAATGTATACTTTCGGCTCATTTCTCACTGGTGCCAGGCCCTGATGGGTGCTTTCACCTTTCCCCACCTGGGAGGGAACCCAGGGCCTCGCCCACGCTGCAGCTTTCCCTCTGGCCAGTGCCCAGAGCTCTACAATGAGCACAGCCCCTGCCCCAGTGGGTAACTTTGGGGCAGTTTACTCGATTGTGACAGTGCCCTCTATGAAATGGGCAGACTGCTTTGACTTTCTGAGATAACTTGGTTCACTTCTCACACTTGCAGCAGCACTGCAAGCTTACCAAATATTGTGCCTTTACAATTTCAATTTGCATTTAAATTTTAAAGTTTTTTTTGGGTCAGGGATGTAGCTCAGTGACACAGCACCTGCCTGGCAAGTGCAAGGTCCTGAGTTTGAGTCCCAGTACCAAAAATAAATAAATAAATTTCAAAGATTTTTTTTCTTTACAGGAATAATTTGATGCAATAACAAAGTAAATTTTAGCTCTTTTTTAAAGTTTTAGAAAATAAAGTTTTATTAATCCTCTAGTGAGAATGCCTCCTTTTACAATTTTGAAACAATGCATGCATGGGACTTACACTAAAAAATAGTTTGGTTGAAATTTAAGTGTGTGTATGGCTTTTTTTGTCTTTCGAATCTGGGGTACTTCCCCTTTGTATGTGGGTGAGAAATAACACAGGACCAGTTTGTTTTTTTTCCTTGGTACAGGGCATCAAACTCAGGACTTTACTCTTGCCAGGCAGGCGCTGTACCACTGAGCTATGTCTTCAACCAGGGCTGGTGTTTTGATCTATTATTTCTGCAGGGCCAATGCTTTTTTTAATCTGTTACTTTACCTCTAGAGTTAGTCACAGAAATGACTGACGAGCCGGTGGAAATCGTGACTCTGACTTCAGGGTTTCCATGGCTCCCAAAGGTCCAAGTCGACAGCAGTGTGGAGGTGGAAAGTGATTGGGTTGTCTGCCCTCTGTGCCAGTAGTTTTTAGCTTAGTTTTTAATTTTTTTTTTAGCATTACTAGGATACCATCTTCCTTTATTCCCTTAGAGTAGTTAAGTTTTAAAATTTTTAATTTTTTTTCTGTTTATTTATGTGGTGCTAGGGATTGAACCCAGGGCCTCCCTCATGCCTGATAGGCAGGTACCATACAGCCACACCGAGATTCTTTTTTGCAAGGCCCCTGTAGGGGTGAGGTGGTGTTTGTTGCTTTTGTCTTGAGTCAGTGACTTGCTAAATAAATAGTTCAGGCTGCCGTGCACTATGTAGCCCCCAGCTGGCATTTAACACCGCCTGCCTTGGCCTCCTCAGTGCTGGGGTTACAGACATGCACCACCATGCCCGGTGCGTTTGCTCTAACAAAAATTTTCTTTTTTTGTCTTTTTGAGACAGGGTCTCACTGTGCAGTTCAGGCTGGCCTTGAGCTCACTTTGTAGCCCAGGCTGGTCTCAAACTTGCAAGGATCCTCCTCTTGAATGCTGGGGTTACAGACATACACGACCATGCCCAGGTGTTTGCCTTTTGAAGACAGTCTCTCCACGTGGTTCAGGCTGGCCTTAAATTCAGGTCATCCTCCTGCCTCAGCTTCCTAAGTGCTGGGATTATAGATGTGGGCCAGGATGCCTGGCTTATCTTGACAGTTTTGATGCAGTTAACCACATTATTTTGACTCTTTGTTCCCTTTTGTTATGGCCTGTTGCTACTTAAAATTATACTGATGTCTCACTTCTGTTATCTGTTTATAAAGTGGAGGGAAAGGGAGGGTGATTTGAGGAAGACACTTATAATTACTTTTTAATTTCCTAAAGCAGAAGGGATCAGCAGTGTCACATTAAATGGCTCTTCTTTTAGCCTCAAGTTCACGGTAGTGAGCGACCCCCTGGACGAGGCAGCGAGAGAGTGTGAAGAGGTAGGGTATGCCTACCTGGAACTGTGGCAGGTCCTCGAATCTGGAAGAGACGTTGTGGAGCAGGAGCTGGAGAGTGAGTAATGAAGTTTTGTCCTTCTCAGCCCCACTTATTTCTAAGCAAACATCCCGAGAACGAGTAACTGTCTTACCTTTAAAATACAATCATCACTAGGAAGTTGGTAAACTACAAACAGGACTATTTTCCCCACAGCTGTGTGTGGCATTTCTGGATTAAGCGTCAAAAGTAGTCAATTGTTGCCAGGTCGGGGGGTGCAACCTGTAATCCTAGCGCTCGGGAGGCTGAAGGTTCAGGCACCTTGGGCTATACAGGACCCCGTCTCAGAGTCACTTGTGTCTGTTGGCTGCCACGTTACCTCATTATCCATCTATTTTAAGGGGTACCCTGCTCCTGCCCTGATACTGGGAAATGAACCCAGGGTCTTAGTACTGAGCTACATCCCCAGGGCCCTCTCCCTTTTTTCAAAAATTTGAGACAGGGTCTTACTAAATTCCCAGGCTGGGCTCACACTCAGTCCTCCTGCCTTGGTTTCCCAGAGGGCTGGGTTACAGGTGTACAACACCACGAGCAGCATCCAAGCCCCTTACCTGCAGCCCTGAGATGGCAAGAGCCACAGGTCTCGGTGTGTAACTGAGTGCTGCTGCCGCCTGACCCTTTCTTTCCTTCCCGACAGTTGTCAGCCCTGAAGACCAGGATGTAGTAATAGGAAGGCTGAAAGTTTCCCTCCAGGCAGCGGCGGTCCTCCACAGTATTTACCAGGAGATGACTGAGGACCTGTGGTCGTGAAGGATCGACGCCCTTCCATTCTAAAGCCTGAGGGAACCGAAGTAAAATGTCTCTAACGAAGTAACTTGCTATACCCTAAGTATTTTTCCTGGGATATCTAGATCTCAACCTAATGATGGAAGTCTAGAATGATGAGAGCTCATTTCTGTGATACTAGTTGGACAAAGGCATTTTCTTTGAACCCCTCGGTGCTTTACCAGGTGAGAAGCAGGGTTCCTCTCACAGACTATAAAGGAATGGTCACAAAAGGCAAATTTACAAAAACAAAACTAACAAAAACCCCACAGTTTATTTATCTTTTAGTTTTTCCAAAATTGAAAATATCAAGTCCTACTGCTAAGGAGAAAAAAACAAACGAACAAACATAAAATCTGAGAGCCCTCCCCCCTTTCTCTGAAGTCATGGAACAGGAAGGAAGTGCAATGGGGCAGGTGGGTGCAGAGAACAAGGAGGGAGGAGGGCAAGAAAAACTCCCTGCACCTAAAAAGCCGTTCAACAGAAACCGATAAATACAGGACAACGGCAGGGCAGGTAAAAACTAGGAGCAGCAGTGCGAGAGGCTGAGCCGTGGATATGGCCTCCCTTCCTCTTCTCTCTCATTTCTCCTCAGGCAATGCTAGGCCCAAGGCATGACTTGCCCCTTCCAGATCTAAACCTTGACTCCCCTGAGCCTCCTCCTAGATTTCACTTGAAGCAGTGTATCAGGCACACAACCATTTTTCCTTTGATACCTCAGAAAAGAGAAACAGTGGTAATTTTGCCTTCTATCATTGTATCATGTGTGAATTTTTAAGAAGAAAAAGCTGAGGCAAGGAGTGTCACTGCTTCATACGCCTTCCAAGGTGGCAGAAATACCTCAGAATCTGCACAAGGCAATACACCAGGAAAACTCAGGTGAAGGCACCAGCCCAATCTGCCTCACTAACTCAAGTTGTATGATTTACATAATCATTAGCAAATTCTAAAAACCTTCTCTTGAGCACTACAAAGATGGAACGTAAAGAGACGTGAGGAAGGTCACGGCAGTAGGGTAAGATGGAGGACTGCATCTGCTGGTCAAGAACCATGGTACAGTGACTAAGGGTCACCTTGTACCACTGTCTTGGAAATACAGCTGTGAGACACCAAAGATGTCAGAAGCCATCAATGTCCTGGCAGAAGGTGACAGGAAGAGGAATGAAGGGTATTTATTAACAGTGGGAGCCTCCACCCTCCTTCCAGAACAGCTCCTCCCTTGCCATCTGCATGGGGCCATTGGCACATGTCCCGGTGGTCCTGGAATTCCCCGAGTAGATTGGTCCACACACATGGCCCCCTAAACCCATAAACACAAATGGCAAAATGTCAAAGAAAACAAAAGGAAAAAACCCAGTTTCTATTTCATGTAAAATTTTCTGGAGTTGGCTGGAGGAAGAGTGGAGCCCAGAGCCACAGTTCAGGGGTTACTTCCTCTTTTTCTTGGGAGGTGCGGAGCTGTGTCTGGAACCACGGGTGGAGCCGCGGCCCGAACTGTGCACAGATGCCTTCCTCTTGCGGCTCATACTTCGACTCTGTTCCTCCTCTTCCTCATAGCGACTTTCACGGTCCGCTGCGCAGAATGGAGAGGTGCCATCAGTAAGCTTAGTCACCTGACATTCCCAGCTAGCGTGAAAGGTTAGAGAAGCCACTCAGTTACTAGTTATGTGATCCCAGGCAAGTGCTCAAATTTTGAGCCTCGTTTATTGATTTATAAGACAGAGGATTATGTAAGAAATTAAAGAAGCTATTTTGTGCAAGGTACCTACCATGGTATTTGGGATATGTCAGATAATAAACATTTCCTCTTCATCTTTAAGTTGTATTTGTGGTTTGGTTTCAGAGCAACAGGATATGGATTAGCCCTGTATTGACAGGCCTAACTCAGAACCTCATGTGACTCCATGGTTGCCTGGCTACTGGCAACCAGGGGCTGGGGCAGAGAAAGGAGCATCCACCTGGCACTCACACCCGCCTGAGAGTGCAAGCTCACATTCCAGACCCAATTTTTCCTTTGGCCAAGGAAGTTATAGCTGAGGCTTCCAATCAGATTTATAGGGGTATTTTTTGTTCTCATTAGGCTACTACTACTAAAACCTCAAAGTACAGGAATGTGTTAGAAACTTGTTCTTCTAAAGACAAGGTCTTGTTACTGCAGCTCAAGTTGGCCTCAAACTCCCAACCCTGTCACCGCCTCCCTCGCCTTGGAACTACTGGCATGCCCCCCAACGCCTGGCTAGAAATCTACACATGAATCAGTGGGTAAAGAAAACAACAAGCCAAACAGAAACAACAAAAACTTCTTGTAACCTTTCCGGGCCTCTTCCTCCAGCTCGTCCCAATCTTTCCCACTCTCCTCTTCACTGCCCAGGGACTCCTTGGAGTAATCTAGAGGAACAGTGATTAACAGTCAGTCGTGCAGGAAGGGAATGAGACATTTTTCCCTTTGAAAATGTAGTTCCAGGAATTAAATTAGACGAGACAGCCATGATAAACTTTCTGTTATAAAGACTAACCTGATTCTTCTGCTTCTGATGAATAATCTTCATCACTATCTTCTTCTTCCTCTTCATAGTCGTCCTCTGAAGGATTGAAGGTCTCATCTTCGATTTCTGACTCTGAATCCCCTTCCTCAGCATCACTCCCCTGGTAAAGTTAGACCATAATACTATTTATTTTATTCACATTCTAACAAATTAACCAACTTAGTATCTACAGTACTACCAGCTTTTACATGGAAAAAACAAAAACCCTCAATGACCAAAAAATAAATGATTGTTCTCATTACTGGTAAGGTACAGGTATGTGATCCTTCAACTTCTAGTTCTTATTTCTTTTCTTTTCCTTTTTTGTGCTTGGAGCTGAACCTAGGGTCTTCCATACCAACTCGTATTGTGAAAGCTTCATTTCATCCTTCCTTGCTAAGAGAAGTCAGGGACAGAAAGACGGTAACAACACCGCCTGCAGAGGTAGGAGGACGCTTCCTACAGTGTTCCTCAGTTCTCCCTGCTGCCCCGTAACCTCTCCAGCAGATGCGCTGTGTGTAGCTAGCTGGAGTGCTCTCCACTTTGTTCTTAAAGCCCTAAGTTCCCTGAGGTGCCACCAAAACTCCCTGAACCTTCTAAAGCTTTATTAAGACAGTGTTTTATTAAATTAAATTAGGTAATGGCAGAAGACATAGTATATTTAGGGCGTAAACTATAAAAATAGACATTTACAGGCCTTTTTCTGACTATATCTGAAATCTGTGGTTTTTCACAGTTCGTGGGTGCTCTAGGAGTGGAGCCCCCGCAAATTTCATGGGTTCACTGTACCTGTAGGAGTACTCTTGAAGACTTGGCCATATCAAGCTGTATTCAGTGGTTCTCCCAGCTGCTCTGGCCCTCATGTACTATCCCTGTGCCCGAATGGCAGCAGGTAGCACTATATCCCAGAAAAGAAACCCCACACTCACGCACCTCACCCTCAGGTTCCAGGAAAGACCAGCCACCCTGCTCGAAGAAGCCCTCAGGGTCATCCACGATGGTCTTCATGATTTTGGTCCAGTTGAGGGACTGTACTCCTTCTGTGTACTTTAGGTCACAGGAACTGAGAGAAATGACATTATAAAATCAGCATCCGTCTTCTGTACTTTCTGGAAAGGTTCAGTATCACCTTGGGCATCAGCATCCCTGAAGAGCACATAATCCTCCCCTACTACAGAATAGGTGCTCTTTGCTCTGTGCCCCAGCAGGTGCCTGCCTGGCTGCTACCTGCTCTCCCATAGTACAGGCCGTGGCAACAGAGCCGCCTTCCCGCTGCTATAATCTGTCCCTCAGTGCAGGCTAAGCTCATCTTCTTCCTTACTTCCGTCTCCCTCTTAAACATCAATTCCTGCCCTTCACTCAGTCTTCACCCCTGCTCTCCATGCTTCCCGCTCCTCCGCTGGTCCCACACTTACTTGTGAGCCCTGTGAGCTCACAGCCGCCTCTGGGCTCTTACGTTTCGGCTCCATTCATCAATCTACTATAATTCAGAAACAGGGACCATTTTCACCGGCCCTAGATTTCCCTCTGCAACCTTCCACTGCTTTACTTACTCTTCCTTATTCCTTTTTTGTTGTTGTTTTTTTCCTGGTACCAGGAATCGAACTTAACAGCCTTGCGCTTGCCAGGCAGGCGCTCTGCCGCTGAGCTAAATCCCCAGCCCCTACTCTTCCTTATTCGATGCAAGGTCTATTTGAAGTCCAGGACACATTAAAAAAAAGAATGTAAAATCTTCCATATTCAGAAAATGTTTAAATGACTTTTTATTCACTTTTGGTCAACTGAAATAGCTGAGTAAGAAGGATGAAAACACCCAGGCAGTAAGAAGGTTAAAACAGACCTTCAGCATAAACCTGCCAAGAACCACCGGCATAACCCACTGCGGGCAACACTGCAACGCCTGCTCCCACTCCTGATGGAGTCAGTCAGCTCCTAGCAGTATCTCTCCACCTTAAACAACTAGGAAATCAAAACAGCAAACAGCAGTTTTCAGACATTCGATAAAAAGCAGGGAGGAAAGACAACCTCTGAAAAATGGAAACAAGGTTTTGTCTCATTATGCGCCTATTTTCTGCCTAGAGGCAGTTCTCAGGCTGTGCTGGAATGGGAACCCAACCAGAAACTGGCTGTTTTGAGGAGCGAGGGACAGACATTTAGTATGTGGGGGACACAGCGGAGCCGTCACACAGGGAGGAAGCGCTGTGGCGGGGATGGATCGGCACAAGGAATGAAACTGGAGCTGGGCACAGAACCACAGGGAAGTGGTGGGCCAGACCCCGCATCTCACACACAACTGGAAGTAATCGCTGTTCCCGGCAGTTTCCTTGGAAAGCCCTCACAACACACAGGGCCTCAGGAGAGGTCCCCACAGGAGAAGCACATCAACAGAAAGGCCAATCGGTTCCAGCACAAAGGCTGGTTTAAACCCACACTAATGACATCTGACAGCAAGCCTTAAAGAACAAAGAGAATCCAAATAATTTGTCTGTAACCCAGAATAATATAAAATAATATTAAAAAATATAGCACCCACGGTACCGGAGAAAAAACAAAAAAACAAAACAAAACAAAACAAAAAATATAGCACCC